ACAGAATAACAACGGACACTTCCCATGAATTTACGACAGTACACCAGTACACAACCTACGAAAAATAAAAGCTTAAACGCAATATGTTTGCAAGAAACGAGGATTATATGGAACACACATCTAAACAGCTGTTGACGACAATTGATTCACACGATGTTTCACTAATTATATAGGCGAAAGATACCAAAGGTGCATCGATCTAAACTCATAGTTTGATAACAAACTGACAATACCATGGCTACAAACGAAATTGTAGTTTAATGATAACTGTCAATGACGAAAACAATATCATGCATAGTATTTGCCTTTCGTGTTTTCATCACCTATAAATCGATTTAAGGACATCATTTTAGAAATTTTTAATAAAAGTGTCTACACACTCAGGTATAATGTCAAGGGTCGAACAAGTAATGATCATATATGAATTAACTGAAACAATACTTGTCTGGATGTCTGTTATACTAACTACAACGATGATTTTTCTTGTTTTGTTTGTGAAGCAATTATGAATTTTATTTACTTCAGTTTTCAATTTAATCTGAAAAAAATAATATTTTTAGTTCACTTCTTTAGACGAAGAGCAGGGATATGAACAAATGTAATGTAGGGCTTATTAACAAGAGTGGCACATGTCTATACAAATTTAGCATCGGATGCCTCCATATTTTACCCATTGTCAAATACATAACTTCATTACATAAGGAACACCTGCATCCCCAGTTTTTGGTGGGGTTCGTGTTGCTCAGCTTTGAGTTTTTTTTAATATTGTTTGTCTTTTAGTCTTATTCATTTTTACAATAGCGTTGTCAGGTTATTTTCGACTTATGAGTTTGAAAGTCCCTTTGGTACCTGTCGCCTCTATTTAAGATGTTCAACTAGAATTCTGCATTCCGCGACAAAAAGGTTAAAATTTTCGGATAACGGTTGACTTGAGGTGCTGTAAACGGTGTTACTCCACAAGGTGGCGATTTGGATGTATTCTATCTCCCAGGATAATTCAGTCTTTTCGGAACTAAAGCGGACTATTTCTAATAATTTGCTGTATCAATGTAAAATGTTGGGCATCGTTCTGATGATTCCACAACTACATTTTAGGTTGAAAATATATACACAAAAAACCACCTGTGAGTGTAAGGAATGATAATTTCCGGAATTGCATTATACAATTTCTTCGATTTGAAGAATCAATCGAAACTGGCATGCGGCCTCGACCTTTGACATTGAAAATCAGTATAGACCCCTCTGTAACAAATGTGGTTAAGATCAGTTGAAAAACGTAGGCTCTTCCGTGTCCTACAATGAGTTACGGACAGACACAAAAACAGTCCCGTAACATTGTATTCTCTACAACTTTGTGAAGAGGGGATAATTACACAGATAGAATTAAAGCGTTCAAAAAATATTTTTTTCCCGGATACTATTATTTTTTTAATTGTGTGTTAACATGGTTATACTACATTGTGTACTAATATATTATTTATCTTGAATTTAACTAAACTATGTAAAACGCCACAACAACGCATTTAATTTTGCAATGGCGTTGTCAGTTTATTTTCGACTTGTGAGTTTGAATGTTCCTTTGGTATTGTTCGCCTCTCTTCTATTAATCTCCTTTTGGCAGGTAGAACAGTCGACCATAAAACACGAGCGGTTAAATATATAATAATATAAATGTTTTAAAAACGGATTCGGATGTAAACTGATCTGGCTGATTACAATAGTTTTATTTATTAAAAGTTTAAGTAAATCGATAAGCGATGATCCATTAATACCTGAAATAACCTTTATATGAGAGAAAACTTTTTTTGTATAGTAGGACACATTAGAATTCAAATAATCAGATGTTTATTTATATAATTTGGCCCAATCCATTACACTTCTTTAATGCAACTCACCATCATTGTAGCGTATATCCAATTTTTATCAGTTTATCTCATTAACTAAATTGTAAACAAAAACGTTTGTTTCATTGTTGAGATCGACCGAATATGACACAATATTAAGTTTATATCGACTCCCTCTATTTACAATGACGATCGATCTGAAACAATTTGCTAATTTTTCAACAACAATAATTACTTCGGGAATCAAATCAAACAAATATTTTTCATAGAATATAAGTTTTATAACAAAAAATCAATTCTGAAGGAAAATATTGACATCAGAGTTGTAGTGTAGATTACCTATATGAGCGGGATAATGACGATTGACATCTTCTGTGTCATTATTTTACACTTCGAGGAAAACCAATCAGTTTGTTTACTTTTTTAGTTATCTTTAATATTCATTTAAACGAAAGACATTTAATCCCAGGTTTCAAGTTTGAAAAACCTAACATTGAACGTTTCAGATCGATTACGAAAGTCTTCGTCAAGGAACCGTCTCTAACAAATGACAAAGGGATATTGTCCCACTGTTTGCATAAATATTGATGGTTAAATTAATATTTGATTGGTTGAGAGAATTTTACGTGACATTGAAAAAACCATCATATTTCCTTCCGCACATCATATTCAATCTCGCATCTTGTCTAACTTATATGGCATAACGCGGTTTGTTCAGCGTTTTAACGATTTTTAAACAGCAAAGTCATTTTCAATATCTTGTTTAAGCTTATTTTAGGCGTATAATTGAATGAAAAAAATGTCCTGTTATAACTAATTAAATGATAGATTAAATATATTTTTCACTTAATTATAAAATTTAGGAGACGAGATAAATTGTTTGTACCTTAATATCCCATGTTTGAAAGTATAAGAAATCAGTGGAATAAAACATTCTCTCCTTTATTTTAGGGAGATATGTAGATTTGTACACCCTATAAATGTCACATTTTCCTCGAGCAATTACTTCGGAAATATTACTTTTTCTAGGTGAACAAATCTCCATAGCTTTTTAAGTATAGCTCCACCTAAGAATCATGCAGAGGGTGATACAGTGATGGTTGTTAAATTGACTTTTTTGGGCTTCATTTGTTCTATTTTGACAGAAAACTAAAAAAAATAACAGTAAAACATGTGTTGTACATTTGGTTGCTATGGTTACAATGGCACCATAACAGCTCTTTAATTTTAGTCCTAAAACCTCAAAAATTACCGTTTTTCATCACAGATTTTTTTATAACAGCTAATTAATTTCGATAAAACATCTACATATTATCATAGTTTCACATTTGTTCTAAACATTAAAGTTGATAAACAGAAGTTGCAACTATGGCAATTCTTGTTTCCATGGCAACCAATCGTTGCAGTTTTTCATTTTCTTAAAAGGAGTGAAAATAACGTTTTTCAAATTCTATTTTCTTCCATGAACAGAGTCCTATAAATAAACTGTTTGTTAGCATTTGTTCATTGGACCTTTGTCTATACATATTAAAAATAATCATTTGTAGCCTCCTTTAGATTTTTGGGAAAAAAAAAGTTTTTTTTGTTTCACTTTTTTTTTGCTCATATTTTTTTTTCTATTATACCTAAACAGTATAACAAAGTAAAGAAAACAGTTATTTATTTATAATTATCCTCAAATCAAACTACCAGTTTCCATGGAAACAGAACACAACGATTTTGAGAAATACACATTTTTGATAAATGTATGCTTTATAATGATGAAATATTTAATCACGCATTTTATTTCTGTATTTTTTTCCATCAAGTATCATCAAATTATTCAAAATAAAGAAATTAGTTTCAAAAGTAAATTTAGTTGCCATGGAGACAAATGACTAGATAGACAAATTTTTATTTCAAATCACCTAAACAATATTTGTTTAAACTATAATTTTCTGAACATAATCATTGTTAGGAGCATAAATATCAAATATTGACTCTATACTTTTAAATAACCCTTTAAAAATACATGTATTTGTCACCCCTTTTCTGGATGTTAACTCTGACAGGATCAGCTCTATAATAAATATATGAAAGCTTTTTAGATATGTTTATAATGGAGCAATAATACCCTTTAAATTATTGAAAAATGTACTTATTCTTTAAAATTTTAGAGGAATTCCATGTGAACTTTGGAAAAAAGGGAGGGAGTATGAACCCCTTTCAATTTAGAAGTTATTGTGTCCCTTTACAATGATATCATACCATACACACATACAGTTGACCTACTGTTTATAGTATCTGAGAAAAGGACCTAATCACCTAACTTAAACCTTGATCACTGATCCATGAAATGAGGTCAAGGTCATGTAAACCCTCTCTGAAAGACATGTAGGCATTACAAGGAACCCATATATACAACAAGAATGTGTCCAAAGTACACAGATGTCCCACTCACACTACCATTTTCTGTTCTGTTCTGTGGACTGTGAAATTAGAGGTCAAAACTCTAATTTGGCATTACAATTAGAAAGATCATATCATAGGGAAAATGTGTAATAAGTTTCAAGTTGATTGGACTTCAACTTCATCATAAACTACCTTGACTAATAAATTTAACCTGAAGTGGGCAATGGACGAACGAATAGACAGACGAACAAACTAACGCGTACAGACCAAAAAACATAATGCTCTAAGAAGGGCATAAAAAATCTTATTATTTATAATAAGTGAGAAATTCACATGACCAAAAAACTGATTTGTTTTTAAAGTTTTTCAACACTAACCATCTGGTAGATATATATTTTATGGTTTTGCTGAACCATGAAAATGAGGTCAAGGAAAAGGGACACATGACAGAAGGAAACTTCTTAGCATAAGGTATCTGCATACAAGGTGTGAAGCATCCAGGTCTTCTCCCTTCTAAAATATAAAGATTTATACAAATAGTTCACACTGATGCAGTCAGATAGTAATCCCTAAGTCTCGCATAGTGCTCCTTTTTTTTTACAGGCAAGACAAAAACCAGTTAAAAGCATTATTTTCTTTATAATTCTATGAAAATTTTTTTCACAAATAATCAATCAAGTCATTATCTTTGAAGAAGCAGACACACACAAGCCAATTCAGTCCTTTCTAACCAAACCACTTTGATTCCATTTCCTTGAAGGATTATGGCAAAAAATTCATGGTCCAGTCCATAATGATCAAAACTTCTTCAGGCTTTAATTCATCCAAAAGGGTAGTATGTCAACGGTCTTGGTTCAAACATCTTATAACATGCTGCCGCCAAGACTTAATATGTGACTCTGATAGCTTTATGTCTGTTATGTAGCTCATTAATGATTATGTAGTTCTTCTGGAAAATCTGCAAATATTGAAATACAAATGTATTAGTGCCAATTAATGGTACATGTATGATCATGTTTAAAAAAAAATTGTAAGCATGAAAATCATATAAATCAAATGTCATAAAAGATAAAATCAAGTCCAACTGAAGTTACTTCATACAAAGTGTAGTTTTATCTCTACTGCATTTATCATGTTCATGAAAATTGTATTTTCAAGAATTCATTTTGGCCAGACTGCCAACTGATTTTAAAAGATGATTAAGGAATGATCAGATTTTGTTTTCTATCATGGAGAAATAAACTACTCACTGTTATACTTGTAGTACACATTGAGTAACTTGGAACAGTGAGTAGTTTATTTCTTCATGATAGAAAACAAAATCTGATGAAGTGTGTACAACAAAATTCAATTCAAATAAAATCGCCTGTTTAACTCAACAAGCATGTGATGTCAAAAACTCGAAACAACTGTTAAATTTTGTTTTTTAAAATTGAAGTACATATCTTCCTACATTAAATTTTTGTATCAAAATGAATATCGCTCTGGCAGAGGAAATAATTGAAAAGTGAAAGTAGAAAGTTATAAATAGATTTGATAAATATAGAAAAATAAAGAGTAAATTTATTTTTCTATATTATATATCTGATCCAAGTTTTAAAAAAACTGTGGGCTCTTTGAAGTGTTGTTGTCATATGCATTAGTATTTTAAGTTCTGCAATACAATAGTTTGAATGATGACATCCCGTTAGTCCGACAACCATTATTCCGACATCCCATTATTCCGACAGCTCCTTATTCCGACAGCTCATTATTCTGACAATGCATCTGTCATAAGTGCATGGGTAAATTTTCTCCATAAGACCAACTCCGTTCTTGATAATATTTGTAGTTGTCATTTTACATTCCGATTATTCTTCGTGCGGGATATTTGTCTCAGTGCCTTGGAGTTGATATATATGCTTATTGCAACTGCTGAGTCCTTATTCTCGTCCCCCTTTTTTTACAGGTCCGGGTATTTAATTTGTTTTAATTATTTGATTTGTATAAAAAGTATTTGAATCATAAATAAAGCCCCCCCCCCCCCCCCCCCCCAAAAGTGTTTTATTTGAACGCTGTGTACCCGTTGACTAAATACTGTTTCTAAAACAATTTTATTTTCTTGAAATAGTTTTAAAAAAGTTTGCTTCTACTATTTAAAATTTTGTTTTGCTTTGTATTTTCATTGGAAAAAAAAATAGACTCTTGAAAAAAAACTATGCGACACCCCCCCCCCCCCCCCCCCTTCCCCCCTCCCATCAATATATATAGTTTTATGTAGAAATTGTACTGGGATCCGTAGCAAAAATGTTATAATTTTCATGAAAGGCAAGAAAATGTGAGAAACAGGGTGATTTTTGTAGACTCAGCGTATATTCTTTTATTGAAAACACGAAAACGGAGCCACCACAACCACTTAGGTCAGAAAAATCATTGGTCATTATTCTTAACGCTTGGCTGTATGTATCACAATGGGGTTCTTTTTCATTTTTACATACATTTTGGTGAAAAACAATCACAACGAAACAAAATCCAATGGAGGTCAATATATATACGTTGGTTTTAGATTAACTAGTATTAAGTGTCTATTATTTTTTCTTGTGTAATATAAAAATAAGGAGATGCAATATGCTTGCCAATGAGACAACTATCCATCCAAGTCACAATGTGTAAAAAGTAAAACAATTATAGGTCAAAATACGTCCTTCAACACGGAGCCTTGGCTCACACCAAACAGCAAGCTATAAATGGCCCAAAAAAAGACAAGTGTAAAACAATTCAAACAGGAAAACAAACGGTCTAATCTATATAAAAGACGAGAAACACTTATGAACCACACCAACAAATGACAACCACTGAACAACAGGCTTAGGACAGGTGCATAAAAAAAGCAGGTTTAAACGTTTTAACAGGCGCCAAACTTCACCCTAGCCTGAAACAGTGGTATAACATTACAACATAAAAAGACACACATATTTTAGTTTTTTTTTAAAAGTCGTAGGTTGTTTTGAATTAGACGCCCACCTAATCCCTAAGGTGGCGGGTCGGATTTGGTGATATTGGAGCCACACAATATCAGCAAATCATATTCTGACCCCGCCTAATTTGTTGAAAATTGTTTGATCAGAATCTGAATAAATAATTCCCTGTAAAACGTACATTTGTTTTGTAATTTGAATTCTGCATATATATAGTACGTAATTAAAATTCTGTATAGTCTGTATTTGCGTAAGCTAAGAATTTTACATCATAATTCTGTATATACAAGTCTATCCGTACGGTCATAGTTCTGTATATCCGTTTTTTAATTCCGTAAATAATAAACGATTTCTGTATATACGAAAAAGCGCGAAAATACATAATTGAATGATATACATTGTACCTCTATACACAAATTGTAATTATGTATAATTATACATATTATGAATTAAGTAACTATATAAAAAGTATTAGAACTATATATGTAATAACATATACGTTACAGTACAGTACAGACAGACATATTTTTTTTAACCCCGATACCGGGGAATATAATTATTTCTAAGTGACGGACTAATGGGTTGTTGGATTATTGAGCTGTCAGAGCAATGGGTTGTTGGATTATTGGGCTGTCAGATTATTGGGTTGTCGGAGTAATGGGTTTTCGGAACAATGGGCCGTCAGACTAATGGGCTGTCGGAATAATGGCGTGTAACCGTTTGAATTTATTGACAACCCTGCGTACCAAGGTACATTGTAACCATATAATCAGACTCTAATTGAAAGTTACAAGCACATTGATTCACCATATATGATATAGAGTTACAAATGAAATTGGTCAAAGTTTCATATCAATGAATTTGAACTTTTTAAGCCCAGTTGTAATCTAATGTACTTTACATTATGTGTGTATAGAAATCAAAAGTATCAGTGCAGTAAAATAAAGGCATTGAAAAAGTGTACACAATAGAACAAAAGTGGCGCAATCTACTAACATTTCTCTATTTGTTTTGACAAGTAAATTCTCTGATATAAGAATTATGAATATCTTTAAAAAAAATATTTTTCTATTGGTAAATTACCTTGTGTATCACTTTCTCCTTAACTTAAATTTCTGCTCTGGTAACTTTAAATGGCACTGGTAGCAGCTACATTTTAGATACCTTAAAAACAAGTTAATATTCGTAAGATTTTTGAATAAAGCAAAACAAAAAAATGGTATAAATATAGAATAATCTTCATTCATTGTAAGCCTGTAATATCTGACTATGCGGTATGGGCTTTGCTCATTGTTGAAGGCCGTATGTTGACCTAAAGTTGTTAATTTCTGTAACATTTAAATTTGGTCTCTTGTGGATAGTTGTCCCACTTTGCAATCATACCACATCTTCTTTTTTATATTCATACCTTTTCTCAAAAAAATATTTTTGTTTGTATAAGGCTTAATTAGGAATAGGAAGAAAAGTAAAATACAAATGCAATTCCAAGGTTCCTTAAAGTGAGTCTGGCAACAGTAAAGAGTGATATGAAGTCAGTGATGTCCACCATGATATATAACCAAAAAAAAAAAATACAGTAAATACAATGTACATGTATGTATTTCAGTTCCTCACTCATATTAAGAATAATAGTTTCACATAGGCATCATGTAATCATGATAGTGAAGATTTCTGAAGTTTTATGCAATCCAAGGACTGGTCTTTGTACATCTGGAGTTGCATATTGGAGATATATTGCATCCATAAATCCCCAATATTCAAGTAAATGGCAAAAAAAAAAATAACATAAAAGATAACAAGGAAGCACACAATGGTAAATCCATAAAAAGAAGCCTTAAAAGCCTGTAATGCATGTAATTCAGATGTCCTTTGTTCATGTTGTTTCTGTACATGTACTTTGTATATATCATATTTGTTTTTTATTAAAAATTTAAATTGTATATAAAACAGACTGTTAGTTTTCTGTTTGAAATGCTTTACATTTGTCATTTCTGGGATATTTATAGCTTACTATACAATATAAATGGGCTTACTCATTGTTGAAGGCTGTACAGTGTTAATGATAGTAACCTAGTTGTTTACTTCTATGTAACTGTTAGTTGATCTCTAGCATGTCTAGTAAAGCATTTTTCATTGGCAATCATTCCACATCTTCCTATTTTGATATTTCAAATATTTAGGTTTATTTTAGTAATAATAAATAATTTAACTAAACAAGTCAACTGTCATGACTACATGGGTAGCATTCCATTTCAATTGCAACATTATAATTATAATATGTATGGGGACCTGTATATTTTAGTTTTAGGGATGGATGGGTTAGGCTAAATAAAATAATATGTACATGATGTACATGTATGTATGTGTGTTTCCTATTACATGTACCATGATTACATCTTTGAAAAAAATGGGGTAAGTACATGTACATGTAGGTAGGAATTTTCTTATTTTACAATTTTTTTTTATATTGAGTCTATGTGAGAGAAATTCTGACTTGAACAGTGCTTTTTGAAAATTGACCAAAAAAACTTTAAGGTACTGTACCCGTACCGTATATCATGCACATGTATGCGTAAGCTTAAAATTATAGGGTAGGTAAGGAAATAGGAAACACACATATTTTTTTAATTGGCCTTAGGGACAGATCCCGCTGGGCCCAGACCAACATGAAAGCTATTGGTCACATACATGAAACACAGTGAACATTTGAACAAATAATACATGTGAAGATAGAGACCCCCACCCCCCCCCCCCCCCCAAAAAAAAAAAAGAATTAAAATAATAGTCCTATTATTAATGTACTTGTACTTCACATTTAATAATAAAAAAGTAATCATGTTAAACCTACCACTTCCAAATATTTGTATTCCTCCAGGATCCTTTGTCTATTGAAACTTGAAAGGTCTCGAGCTCTGAATGTCTGTCTTTTGCCTTCTGACATGGTCAGGATGTGAACAAGTTTAAGTAACCTTCACCCTGTCGATACTCTAAACCAAGTTTGATACAGAGTGAAGGATAAACTCTGAGTGAAATATTAGTAGCAAAAATCCATTCTCTGTGGGATAACACTTTAAACAGGTCTGCTTTCTTCAGTTGTTCGTTCATGATTGTAGTAATTTGTAGTTGTACGCAGCGATACTTTTACATTCAGAATTTCAGTCCAACAGCTAATTCAAGTGATATTTTACATCTCTGTGTGACACAAACTTAGCTTAATAAGAGTTGTGTCTTTTGAGTAACGTTAGTAAAGACCACAACTAGAATTACTTTGCAGAAAGCTGCATAAACAACATCGTAAATTTGCCTCCACATGTAGTGAAGCAGAACCGGAAGTGATGAATTGTAAAAATTTTTTTGAAGGGTTTTTGAACCGCTGAAGGCCCAAGAAGCTATAGAACAAATGATGCAAAATCATGCCTTCTGGATGTTCCCCAGACCCTTTCTTAAACTGAAAATGCAAGTTCTGTTTTAATAATTTTATGACAATATTTTGGTCTCAAAGCAAAATCACGTTATAGATACAGTGTAAGACTTAAGTTTCTAGGAACAACATCAAAAGACAAATATGCATGATATTAAAAGCAAAAATGTAATTCACATAATTAAGTCTGTGGCTGCTGTGTTTTTTTAAACTCATGATCAAGTTAATAATAAAATTACTAAATTACAAAATGAATGCGACACTAACAGAATACAGAAGGGCAATCAATGAACAAAAGACAAATAAATAAGAAACATTGATCCCGAAAAATCAGGGGCTACGTCTGAGAGAGAACAGAACTTGCTTCTTGCAAGGCACTCACGGTGAACACAATTTGATATGGAGACAAGCGTTTGGTTTTGAAATTTCCTACATGAGGCATTTGTCTCAATGTAGTTACGGCCCTGATTTAATAAAAGTGAGGTAAGTGTTCCTGAGACAATTAACCTCAAGTTAAATGAAACCAATTTTCTGACATTTCAAGTATATTTAAATAATATTTATACTTTTATTATTAAAAGATATGGGAAGTCTTTCCCGATTTTTTTTTTTGGAAAAAAGATGAATTTATGAAGAATCTGGCGCCATCTCATACTTTCGATTAGAACTGCTGAGTTAGTTATTTTCAATACATTGCAAGTCAGGTAATTTATTTTCAAACTACCACAGAACAAACCATTTATTTTTGTGATTATCAAGGCTGAGTTATTTATTTTCAAAATCCTCCTGCCCCCCCCCCCCCCTCCCCCTACCCCTCTCCCAGAATATCAAATGGTCGTCCCCTTAAGAGTTGTTACAATAAATAATCAAAATGGTTAATGTGACATTTGATTAAATTTGTTGTCAACAAATAATTCAACTTTATTAAAGTGATTAAAGTAATTAAATTTCTTAATTTCACGAAAAAATATTGTAAAACAAAAGAGATTTTAACACTTTTTATCGATCAGTTCAATATATTCAAAGCGTATCTTGGATCATATTGATCGTGCGGTAAATTTTTTTTTGCTGAAAACCATTTTTTTAATGTTTATTTTAGATTTTCATTATTGTAATGCATTAGTTTAGTGTCTCAAAGGTCTCCAAATGTAAACATATGCCAAATAACAAAAACGTTATATGATCATTTTTTATCTCATCCAGTCAATCGTCATGTCATTGGTGTAACCCGAATTAAAGAAATAATGTAATTCTGAATTATTAGATTTGCATTTTATAAAGTAATTCTAATGTTCTGTGATATATTTCAGTAGTTTTATTGTAATGTGTGCAGTTCTGTGGTATATTTTGAGTGTTCTGTGATATTCTGTGGTAAAAAGACGCTCCGGAATTGTAAACAATATACAAGATGCACTTGACAAAAATGATTAGTAAAAATTATTAATCTATCCAATCTAACACCATAAACAAATGAATCTTTACTAAATTAATAATTTCTCAAACTGTTAGTTTTTTTTTGAAAAGATGCAGCATACAGTATGAAATTTTTTTTTTTTACTTGTTTTGAAGTTCAACAGGAGTTGTCTTTCTTGGAATAGTAAGAAAAAGCGGTTAATTTAAAATGAAAATAACTTGAGATAGGTGCAAGGCTACAAATAAAAACAATTGATGTTGTTTGGAAGATTCCATATTTTCCGTAATGCTAAATGGTTTACTACAAATAGCCTGTTCTCAGCAGATATATATTATAACATCCATCATATTTCCAATGCTTATATAGTGAGGAAAACATGCCCATCTGAATTTTTACTAGGGTATAAATGACATTAATAGTAGGCATCAACAATTATGGTTGAATATATTTCAATTTTTACTCAAAATGTGTCACATAACCAAATATTAAGCACATTGGTAACATAAGGTAAATCACTTTTTCTTCATATTGCATGATTCTTAGGTGGAGCTATACTTAAGTCAATGGAAATTAATTAGTTAAGTCCTCAAAGATTTCGGACTGATAATTTGGTATGCCAGATGCTCTTTTCGTCTTCATAAGACCCATTAGTGAAGTTCGATCAAAAAGTTGATAAGCCAAATCAAATTAAATTCAAAGAACATTTAAAACCGAACATTCGGAACAGTAAACTGTTCATGAACAATATACTCGACCGTTATGGAAAAGGAACAACCACAAAATCTCAATCCTTATTAAAGGATTCCTTATCTGCTACATCAATCGTGGGAGACGTACTTGCATTGGTAGCATTTAACTAGCACATGTCTTATTCTATGTTTCTTAATATACTTTATTTTTATAAGTATATTTCAGACGACACAAAGGTGAACAACCCTGATGAAATTTCTAAACAATTTTATGGAACCTATCAGTTAATAATTTACATTTTGTTAGGAACTATCATTTGTTTTGTTTTTTTTTGCTTTGCTTCATTCTCCTCTCAACTTTTTTTCTGTTTTTATTTTTATCATTGCTTTTATATATCTTTAAAATTCAAGAGTCTATCCTAAATTGAGGTAAATTATATGGCCTTCCAAATACCGTTTCGATCCCTAACATCACTGAAGAGACATTAATTGTCGAAATCTGGATATGGTGTACAAATTTTTGCACCTCATGTTTGCGGTATAACATCTTCTCCGCAAGTTTATTGTTTTCTGTTTGGTATTAAATTAATAATTAAGATCCATATTACATCTCGTGATCAATTTATTTGGCAATCGTCAATGGCAGTTAGCAGGGTTTAAGAACATCAATTGTTCGACCTGTTAGTCAAATGCGATTGGTTAAAATATACTGTTCACTTTTTTGGTCTTTTGGAAAATGTTGTTTGTGCTGTATTTAGACCCCTCTACCAAGAAATTTGTTTTACATGCACACGTATAAAAATTGCGGTTTTTATCCAACGCAATCATAGGTTTGAACGTTGTTTTCAATTTAGACTTGTGTATATTATATATATATATATGTTAGGCTTTCCAAATACCGTTTCGATTCTTAACATCACTGAAGAGACATTATTTGTCGAAATCCGGATATGGTGTACACAAACCTTTGCACCTTTTGTTTGCGGTATATCATCTTTTCCGCAAGTTTATTGTTTTCTGTTTAGTATTAAATTTAAAATTAAGATCCATTTATTACATGGGTAATCCGTTTATTTGGCAATCGCCAAAGGCAGTTAGCAGGGTTTAAGAACATTTGTTGTTCGACCTGTTAGTCAAATGCGTTTTTTTTAAAATATACTTTTTCACTTTTTTGGTCTTTTGGAAAATGTTGTTTGTGCTGTATTTAGACCCCTCTAACAAGAAATTTTTCTTGCATGCACACGTATAAAAATTGCGGTTTTTATCCATCGCAATCATAGGTTTGAACGTTGTTTTCAGTTCAGACTTGTATATATATATATATATAGAACATCCGTTGTTCGACCTGCTAGTCAAAAGCGTTTTGTTAAAATATACTTTTTCTCTCTTTTTGGTCTTTTGGAAAATGTTGTTTGTGCTGTATTTAGACCACTCTACCAAGAAATTTGTTTTGCATGCACACGTATAAAAATTGCGGTTTTTATCCAACGCAATCATAGGTTTGAACGTTGTTTTCAATTTAGACTTGTTTATATTTTTTCGTTTGGGCTTGTATTATATTTGCCTTCGGGTTTATATGATCCGTTCATCCTATTTTGACTCTTCAAAATTTAAGAGTCAATCCCAAATTGAGGTAAATTATATGGCCTTCCAAATACCGTTTCGATTCCTAACATCACTGAAGAGACATTAATTGTCGAAATCCGGATATGGTGTACAAATTTTTGCACCTCATGTTTGCGGTATACCATCTTTTCCGCAAGTTTATTGTTTTCTGTTTGGTATTTAATTAATAAATTAAGATCCATTTTTACATCTGGTGATCCGTTTTTTTGGCAATCGCCATGGCAGTCAGCAGGGTTTCAGAACATCCGTTGTTCGACCTGCTAGTCAAATGCGTTTTGTTAAAATATACTTTTTCTCTCTTTTTGGTCTTTTGGAAAATGTTGTTTGTGCTGTATTTAGACCACTCTACCAAGAAATTTGTTTTGCATGCACACGTATAAAAATTGCGGTTTTTATCCAACGCAATCATAGGTTTGAACGTTGTTTTCAATTTAGACTTGTTTATATTTTTTCGTTTGGGCTTGTATTATATTTGCCTTCGGGTTTATATGATCCGTTCATCCTATTTTGACTCTTCAAAATTTAAGAGTCAATCCCAAATTGAGGTAAATTATATGGCCTTCCAAATACCGTTTCGATTCCTAACATCACTGAAGAGACATTAATTGTCGAAATCCGGATATGGTGTACAAAGTTTTGCACCTCATGTTTGCGGTATACCATCTTTTCCGCAAGTTTATTGTTTTCTGTTGGTATTTAATTAATAAATTAAGATCCATTTTTACATCTGGTGATCCGTTTTTTTGGCAGTCGCCAT